GACTATGCTTAACAAAGAGCGCTTTGCTTGCTAAGGCTGAGGATTTTGTGTCAAGGCATTTCAAGGATATTATTTACTGGAGTTGCAGCTTCAATGAAATGACTAATTTGTCTTCTTTGCAGTTGTGAGTCAGCGGGAAACTGCGTCACTCAACTGCATCTAAGCAGCTCAAACGACAGATCGTTTTGCACGCCTTTAACAGTTCATCTGGGGATATCTGTGATATGTATAACACCATTACAGCTCCCTGCACTGCACAGAGCTCCTGTGGCTTCAGAATTTAGGACGCCCAGTCACGGGTCAGGAGGCGCGGTGGGCGGAAAGGGCTGGGATTCAGGCAGGGACGCGGGTGCTGGATTTAAAAATAGGACCGGGCGACTACTGCAGCAGGGAGGATAGAGACACACAACGCCAAGGAACATATGGTGTAGAGGGGAGACATTCACAGAATCAGAAAGTGTGTGTGGGGGGTTTGTGGGGTAGATAGAGCCAGTTAGGTTGAGTGAAGGAAGAGGAAAGAAAAAAAATGTGTGTAGAAAAGATTTTAAGGTCATGGATTGTAATGCAGCAATGTGAAGTTTTGCAACTGCAAAAAATACACAAGCGCTTGAACAAAAGGAAAGAAAAGGAGAATAATGACCCTCAGTGTGCAGGAAAAGAACTCAGTTGCTACTATACATGAATTATGTTAAAGAAAAACTGATGAAAAGATACACATAAACACCACGTGTATGTGTATTACTTACCGTATCTCATTTGTCTGTGGGCTAACAAATCCAAGTGAGAAAGAAAGGATCAATAACAATCAATGTGCACAGTAAGTTTCAAACTAGAGGTCGCCCTTGGTCAAAAACAATATTGCAGGAATGCTGCCAAGGGTTAACAAAAACCTCCAAACCAGCAACTCTTGAATTATGCATTGCAGCTATGATCCTCATCAGAAGCTAAATAGACTTCAAAAGTGCTGTTTGAAGAGTTTTATTTGGTTCTGAAAGCACTTTCGAAACCCATTTTCCCATGAAAAGCCGCCCTGTTTAAGAGGCAGACAAGCGCAGGCAGGATGTGGATGGCAGCGCTCCGTTAATGGTAAAAAACTTTGTTTAATGACTCAATGACGATAACTTTAACCCGAAACAGTGACACAAAACACTGGCCTCTGCAGTTTTAGAATATCGCAGAGGGGATTTTTGTAAGTAATTAAAAATCCAGGTTCCCTCTTTCATTTCACAGCCATTTAGATGCAGAACCGTTCAGCAATTCCACAGTGAAGAGCTGCTCCCCTTTCACAGAAAATCACATTTAGAAAAATAGATGGGATGCTATGAGAGTAACTGGGTTTTCAATAACTCGAGCAAACTGCACAGGCGATCCTTTGATTATCACACTTTTTGCTTTTCATTTTCTCCGAGGAGTTCTTTATCAGCTCCTCGTATTTTAAATTCCCTGTGAAAGGCATACTTTTGTTTTTGAAATTGGAAATAGTCTATCGCAGAAATTGCTCGGCTTTCTATCACTTAGAGATAATAATGCATATCGTTTTGGAAAATGAAGCCAACGACTGCCGTGAAATCAGGCTAAACTAAAAAGAGTATATCACGTTATCGGTCTGGGGTTACACAGTGAATTGGACTCTGCCTGTAACTACACATCAGCAGTCAAGCAGTTTCTTACCCATTTTAGGTGTCAGGGCGGTCAGGTCCAGGTGGCTATGCTGGTAGTCATGGTGATGGTTTCCTGTGACAAGAAGAACAAAAGCAAATAAAAGTGTGTCAACATCAGCAGACACAAAGAAAGGCAATAAAAAAAAGCAGCCCCTTTTTGATTTATTCAGTCTGCATTATTATATAGAATAACTGACCCGACTCAAAAGTAATAACAATCAAGTCAAAAGCATGTTACAAAGCCAAGTTAAACTAAACCAGTCAGCAGCACAGCAAACATGAGGTATA